CACTTTGAAAATGCTATGCTATTATCTTTTTTCATGCAGTTTTGCTGATAATAAAACAAAACTAATACCAATCTCATTGCATGTAATTAGCTCTCTTTTTGTAAGTTTTTAAATTTTGTTTTAATTTTTACATGTTTATTGAGTTATAACTGATGTACAATAAATTACACATATTTGAAGTGTACATTTTAATGAATATATGCACCAGCAAAATTATGAACACCTCCAATGGAATGTTGACAATTGTGTAACAAACAGCTATTGAAACCACTCTTTGTAAAATTAATAAAGGGCCACAAGGTGGGAACCGTGGTAGGGGAAATATTTATGTATACATATATGTATGTATATATGTATACATATGTATGTAACCAGCCATTGTTCCCTGGCTTGCTTTCCTATAATTGCCTACTACTCAGGAGTCACATAGCTGATGGCCAGAAAGATTCTTAGCTTTCTTCATTGCTGCCATATATAACATCACCCTTGTGAAACCTAAGGCTAGTTTTTAAGATATCATCCAGGCCCTGTATTCCAGTGGAACAGCTGACTTACCCAGACCAGTGGCCCATACTGAGGAACCAACTTTACTGGTCTTGCAACTCCCATCTAAGGACTGACTTAGCAAAGAAGACAACTTCTACACCCCTATGGTTCTGTCCCGAATCTAGTCCGTTAGCAGACCCAATTGCCTAGCCCTTTGCCTGCCAAACTATCTTTAAAAACCCTGTCTCTCAAATTCTGAGGGAGATGGATTTGAGAACTTCCTCCTGTCTCCTCACATGGCACCCATGATATTAAAGTCTTTTTCTGTAATAAGCTCTTCTGTCTCAGTGTATTGGCTGCCTCTTGAGCAGTGGACAATGAACCTGGTAAGGTTGTAACACCATCCAGAGGGGAAAAAAGTCCCCTGATCTGTAGTGTTTTTCAATTTTTGTGGTGTAACTACTTACAACAGGCTGCACTCATACTAACAACATGACATTACTGAATGTAGCTAAAAAGAGATTTGTATAGTAGGTTCTCCCAAGCTGGTATGAGCCAGTTTCAGTATACCATTGAAAAGATTCTCTCTCTCCCTT